GCACCAAAATCACTTTCCCAGATTTTCTCTACATTTGCAATGAGAGTGTTAATTAATGAACAACAAAATCCATCATCCTAGGTGTGTATGTAGGTTGTATAGTCTGGAAAAGAAAGGTTCAGAATTTTTAAAAAAATAATGTTAAAACTGGGTATCCTTTCCAACTCTATTCTTAGCATTTTTGGGTAAGGAAATGACCTTAGTTTTTCTAAACCGTATCAAAAGATTAGTATAAGAAGATAAGGCCTACGAGGGACATGATAGTTTTCTTCCCACATCTGAAGTGGAGTCAGTCACTGGTAAGGCAGATTATCTGTATCCCACATAACACCAGAAGGTAGAATAAGAACCTTTAGATGGATGATTTGGCAAGGCAGATTTCAATTTACAGGTAGGTACTACATCATAATTTTTTTTATGTCCAAAAATCAAATGGGTACCATTAGGAGTTAAGAATTTTTCATCCCTGGAAGTGTTCTAGCAAAAGCAAGAGAATTTTTAGAAGTATTAGGCAGTTTCCTTCATTAATAGGATAGGCTACTACCCTAGAATTATTTAATGACTTGTTTTATTAACATCTAATTTTTCCTGTGTTTACTTCTACTTTGAATTTAGGTTGAATTTCTAACAGGCCTGTCTGAAACCTAAATACTACACTTAACATACCTCTCCTTCATTAAACAGTACTACTTATATTTGCTATGCACCTGATAAAGAGCACTTTTCAACAAGTGATTCAGAGTAAAATAAAACAGAAGGATGGAACTAAATCATCAGCTCCTTCATCCTTTACTATTATCTCCCTTCAGTCAGGTTTCACTATATGGGTGTTGATCAGGCCCAACTTTACTATAAATACATAAGCATATTTTAAATCCATTTGTTTACCTACACTTCTTACTAAATGCAGATGTTTCCTAGAGATGGCATGGTATTGTAGAAAAAGACTGGGTCTTGTAATCCGGTACTGTCAGCATGTCTGCACCCTTGGGAAAAGCAGTCTCTTGTTCCCTCTTCATCTTGTGGGAAGATTAAATTAGAGCATTTGTTTATATTGGGTGTCCATTTTTCCAAAGACACTTGTACTCTCCATTAGCTATTGAGCATAAAAGGCACTCACTATATTTTGGAATTATTAAAAGATCTTTTAACTTGACTATGGGCTATTAGTCATACCCAAGTTTCTTAAGAACATGGCAAGAACGAAAACAACTTAGAATAAAATTCATAGAATGCTAAAACTTATCTTCCAGTCTAACCCTTTCATATGAGGAGGAAACAGTCTAGGAACATCAGTTATTTATGTCTATTTACGGTTAATGTTGACCAAAACCTCTCAGCTTCTTGTTTTCTCATTCCAAATCTGATTTCCGTTTTACTACCATTGTATATATGTATATATAAAAGTTCATATATATATATATATACACACACACACACATATATATATATCCCACAGAAGTTCACTTCCGTTAACATTGAAGACTAAATTTAACAGGTGGTGAAAATTCAGGAAATCTAGCCAGCACTTCCATTTTGGTATTACGAATTTTCTAACATTAAGTGATTTTCTGTCCTTTTGTCTTCCTTTCTCAATTGCAAGAAAAGGCTGTATACAAATTTGAACTTTTAAAAAATATTTTTAATAATCGTTCTTTACTATTTCAAACAAATTATGGGGCCTTTGGGAGCATCCTTTCCCGCTTAATGTTGAACTAGGTGATATTTAAAAACCCTTCCTGTTCTAATATGATTATAAATATCTGGAAATAGTTAAGTAGTGTTCTCAATATGCTGAATATAAATAATAGGTAAGTTTATGGACAGAAAAAAATTAATTAGAAAAATAGTGGCCACATAAATTTATTTTGAATTGAAAATTCTGAGCCTAATAAATAACATTCACAATGACATGGCAAGAAAGTTAATTTCTTGATATCAGTGAGCTGGAAATAATTTAGTACAACTGTAAACATTTTTAAGTTAAGACCAAATAAAAAGGAAGCATAAATTCCTGTGACAATAAAAAGATCTACAATTACATAAGCTGACTGAAAAAAAAAAAAGATTTTCTACATGGTTTTCTTTGTTGGGTCATTCACGCTTTCATTCTTTTCATTCTTATCTAATTATTCCAGTTGTAAACACCTAAATCCTATGCAGAATTGAATTTTAATGAGAAAAGGTGATGACATAATATTTTCTCTCCTATTTTAGCTATTCAAGTATATAGTAGCAATTTGTTACTGAAAAACTTCACAATGTGATTATTTTTAAAACTGTGTAAACATCTTTCCCAACATGCTTTAAATTCTATTTCTAGGATACCAAAGTCCTCCTTAATGATCATTCTTTTTAGAATCTTTTAATAAATGCATACATACATATGAAATTCTATATTGCAACTTGAGCATCAGTCACAGGACTTCTTGAAGAAGATCATGAGCACAAATTATCAATAACAAAGGTTTTAATCTTGTTTAGATCGGTCTTATTTTCTTTTAAAGAGAACATCAAGGTTTGGCCATGATTCTCCTGAAAACATTGCTGCGGACAGTAATGAGCATTAAATAAGTCAGTCTGGTTCTGAGTATTACAATATTTAATCTTAATTGGTGGAAAAACTACAAAGAAAGGACTAGTTCTTTTTCTGTGATGCTTCTGTCCTCCACAGGAAACAAGATGCTATGTGACCTCAGAGTAGCAGCTCTGAGGTCCCCAGCCAGGGTTCTTAGTACTATTCTAACTTAGAGTCAATGGTGACCCCTTTTCAGAAACTCAGGGGCTGACAAATCTAGTCTTCCCTGGAGACGTGATATGGCAGCCCCACCTCAAGTAAATGAAGCTAGTAACACACAGTGTTCCATTAAGGATAAAATAGAAACTGACTTAATTTGGGAAGTCTTTTGACATCTTTAACTTTCAATAAGGAAGACATGAAGAAAATGAACGGGTTCAGAAGAGAACAAGCTAACTTAAAAATATGAAATAATAAGAGAAAAGTAAAATTTTGAAGAACACAAGGTTAGATGGCAACAGTTTCTTCAGATACTTTAAGAATAATTTATAATGAAAGAAAGTAAATGCAGAACTTGGAGGGAAAAAAAGGATTTAAAAGCTCTTAGGAGTTTAGGTTAAATTAGGACAGAGACTTTTCTGATTATTTATTCTGTAGACATAGAAGACCATCTTGCTTCAGTTTTGGGTCAGAGAGCTCATTCACAGAACTCTTCCAGCTCTGGAGTCATTGAAAAATGAATCATATTCATTAAACTTAAATACCCCTATCCCTGTGTTCTATCAACACTAATAGGAGTTAATTCTGCCTCAAGGTTATGTTGCTCCACGCACCAAACGAGAATAACTGGGTCCTGTAATTTGCTCACCACTACCTCACATCTTAGACAGGCTTTTCCCCTTCCTGAAAAAGATCTTTATAACCTGCAGGAGGAAAAAGTTTCCGACTGAAGATCTCAGGTTAAGCTTTTTCAACTATTAAACACACTTTTCCTTTCAGATAATGTAATCACACTAACAGTTGTCTGTATGCCAACAGAACGAGAATATAACATAATTCATAGGTAAAGAAAGAAATCTACTTTCTCAAAACTTGAAAGGTCTTAAATACAAAGTCTTCCTGATGTAGTTCTCCAAACCTTGCGTCTTCTTAATTTATTATTAAAATCTAAAAAATTAGGGTCTTCCTGTAATTACACTCGCTTTGTCCCTTGCTTGGAAATACTATTACTTTCCACATGAAGGAATGTGGTACTTCGAAGTACCTTATCAGAACTGCAGTTGAAAGGTATCAATACCAGTTAAGTAACATTTGAAAACCAAGAAACAGAAGTCAGGAATTCCACCATACGGTGTTCCCATATTCCTCAGAAACAGAATTTAATTAACAGCATATTCATTTGGGACTTGTAAATAAAGAAAAGACATGTTTATATATTTTGCAAGGAAGTGAACCTTCTGAGTCTTCAAAATATAGGTGGAAATAGTTCTCCAGTTTGATATTATAATAGAAGTGCGGTTTGGAAAAAAGATAATCTTAAAAAAAAAGCGGCTGAAGGTGCGCATGGGCGAGGTGGGGGTGGAGGGAGCAAGGGGAAGAATTAAGAGCAGAAAGCAGCTCTAGAAACAGTACCTGTCCCAAAGTGGGTCTGCACGCTGCCGTCGCCTTGCACAGCGCTCCTGGAAAGCTCATCTATAAATCCGGGGTAGGCCAAGGGTGGCAAGACTCCTAAGGAGGGAAACAGAATAGACACGATTCTGTTCTCCAGAGTTGGAGCGAGGGGACGTCCTGCTGGGGAAAGTGGTGTCGCCTTCCAGGGCTGAAAGCCTCTCCACGCATTACCTTTGGTCCCTACTCAGCTCCAGGCTTGGGGGCACACGGAGCTGGGGTCGACCGGCTGCCCAAGACCTAAGCTGCCGCAGGTCCACCCGGGACGCAGGACCCGGTCTCGCGGGTCGCAGACTCCTGCACCCACGCGTGCTGCCTCCACAGCAAACCCGGCGTGACTCCGCGGGTGTCTCTCCTGTGCTGCCGCCGCCCGGGCCGGGCTGGGGTTGGGACTGGGGGCGCCCGCGGCCGGGGGAGGGGACGGCTCACTCGGGGTCCCCGCATCCCCAGCGCGCCGCTCGCCGGAGCTTCCGCCCCAGGCCGCCGGTGCCGGAGGCCGTGTTTCCCGCGCGCCCCGCCCGGCGCGCCCCGCGGCCGCGGGACCAGGGGGCTCCCCGCGCAGGCCAGTCCCCGCCCGGAGTTCAAGATTCCCGCCGCTGCGCTTGCACAACACCCGCTCCCTCTTTTTTTTTTTAAACTTTCACTGCTTCAGGCTCGATCGATCCTCAGCGTGTCTTGCGAACGTCCCTCCCAGGGGCTCTAAAGAGGATTCGGAGCGCCAGCTGCCGCTCTCCCGGGTGCTCGCCCGCGAGGCACGCCCGGGGCGGGGCGGCGGGGCGGCGGGGCGGCGGGGCGGGCCCAGGGCGGGGCGGGGCCGCCTCCGCGCCCGGGAGCCCCTGGGCTCCCGGCAGCGGCCCCGCCGAGTCCGCGGAGGAGCGGCGGGCTGGCGATGGAGCCCGGGAGACCCCGGGCGAGAGGAGGCGGGGTGGCGGAGGCGGGGAGAACGCGGGGGCGGCGGCTGGCAGGGGGCGCTGGAGGCATGAGCCGCCCGTGCGCTCCCGGCGCCCGCGGGTGCAGGAGGCCCTGAAGCCCCGCGAGCCCCGCGAGCCTCGGGGCCAGGCGGCGGCGGCCGGCGTAGGGGTCGCCGCGGCCGCCGGGGCGGCGCCGACTTCGGCGCCTTTGTTCTCGCGCCCCTCGCCGCCCACTCCCCTACTGCGGCGCGGCGGCGGCGCCCCTCCCGCCCGAGGCGGGCGGGCTCGACGCCGGGGGCGGCTGGGGGCGGGGGGAGCGCGCCAGCCGCCGGAGCCGGGGGCGATGGCGAAGCTCCGGGTGGCTTACGAGTACACGGAAGCCGAGGACAAGAGCATCCGGCTCGGCTTGTTTCTCATAATCTCCGGCGTCGTGTCGCTCTTCATTTTCGGCTTCTGCTGGCTCAGTCCCGCGCTGCAGGCTCTGCAAGCCACGGCGGTCAACTGCACGGTGCTGTCGGTGCAGCAGATCGGCGAGGTGTTCGAGTGCACCTTCACCTGTGGCGCCGACTGCCGCGGCACCTCGCAGTACCCCTGCGTCCAGGTCTACGTGAACAACTCCGAGTCCAACTCCAGGGCGCTGCTGCACAGCGACGAGCATCAGCTCCTGACCAACCCTAAGGTAAGGACGCCCCGCGCCGGCGGAGGGCTGGAGGTTCGGGGGGCACAGCGCCGGACCCCGCGCGGGGTGGGCACGGAGCAGGCGAGCGGTCCGAGGCTGCCCTCACACCGGGAGTGGTACATCCGGGAGCCCCGCGGCCCGGTCCTTCGGATGGCTGTGCGTCCCGCGACCTGTGCCTCCCTGAGGCTTTCTTTACACACCTGTCTTGCTGGCCTACAGGACGGGCTTCGCGGAACTCCAAGGAGCCCAAAGTTAACTTTTCCTCCGCTTAAAGCCAGTGGGGCCCCAACCCGCAGCGCGGTCAGGGTCTGAGCTCCCACTGGCCGCGTCAACAGCTCTCGAGAGGTCGAGGGGGGCTTTTAGCCTCCGGGAAGGTGTTTTAACTCTAGCAGACTTTTTTTTTTTTAACTCTAACAGACATTTTTAACTTGGAGTCCAAACATGAGCTTTTGAGGGTCGACAGACGACGCGGAATCAAATGCGAAATTCTCTGTGGTTCCATTTTGGGGAGGTACAGAAGGCTTCTAGTTTCCATGAAACAGGTTCTCAAATGGGTCTAGAGGGAGCTTAGTAACTGTGAGCCTAGGGACAATCGGGAGTCATCTGGGGAACGGTAAAACTTACTGAAAATAGAAAACCCACCGTGAAATGTACCGAATATTCCTTCCCTGGCAACTACTTTTTTTCGTTCTCCCAAGCAAAAAAAAAAAAAAAGAAAGAAAGAAAAAGGTAAAAACCTGGTTAAGACTCTCGAGGGACGGAGAGCAGAGAGGGAGACTCAGAAAACAGTTCCCAGTGGAGCAACAGCTTATGTAAAGCAGTGTCCTCGGTCTGTGAACTAACTGAGCTTTGTAGTACACCTGGTTGTACAAGAAGCATTTTCTTTTTCTCGTCCTGGTTTTCTTCACTCTTCTTCACTTTCTACAAAAGTAAAGGTGTGTCTTTTTTTAAAGTTAATGACATTTTCCTCTTTGTGAGGCTGTGCTTGAGGGTCAAGCAGGAAAACTGTCCAAAAGGGGATGCATATTGTGTCCATAGGAAAACTTCCTGTTAGATGGAACAAAATCTAATTACATCAATCCAAAAGGAAACACTTCTATATTAGTATTTTTAAAGTATCCAAAACAAACTTACCGTTTCTCTGCAGTAAAACTCCTGTCTCCTAAACAGCAAATTCTTGAATTTGGCAAGTTTTAGAAAAGGAATTTCTTTTTAGAAATAATGACTCCTCTTTTAAAAGATGCACCTGCTGACAAATGAATCTACCCTAGAAAGGAAAATAATAGATAACCAGGAAATATAGAAAGGGAGAATTTAGGTAGAGTTTAATGTTCAAAGTCTTGAAGACAAATGTAAATTAATCTGCTTGAAGTCTTAAGGTTCAGTGTCTCAAAGACAAATGTTGTAAATTTATCTGCTTACTACTCAGCAATTCAAATCTCGGGGTTTTAGAAACGACGTTTTTTCAAGTTTAAATCATTAATGTAGAAAAAAAGTTCTAAGCAGTAATAGTGAGATAGAAATTATATGATAGTTCATCACTTTGGAGGCATTGTTATAATTGGCACAACATTGCTAATTAGTTAAGATAGTGGTTCAGGCACTAAAATTACACGTGTACCAGTGAATGGCTAATATCTAATCAAGACATTGAGAAGTTAGAATTTACTATAAAAAAGGATGCTTTGTGACTTCGAGGCAATTTTGAAGGATCTGGCAAAAAAAAAGTAAATTGAAATCTTTAGGACATGGATTTTTAAATCATTTGGAAGCAGTCATATTATATAATACTAAAATTTTATCTCTCTTTTTGTTGCAAATAGTGCTTTCTTCCAGTGTCAGTTCAGATCCTGGCAACTGTTTTTGAAGAACTATCTGAACAAAATGACATTTTATAAAGTAAAGTAGTCAAGAAATGACAAAACTGGAGAAAGATATATTTATGTTACAGAAAATGCTGGTCAACATCCCAGTCTATTTAGTCAAGATTTCCTCTGCCAAATCACTAATATCTCTTTAATTCCAAATTATGATTGCATTGTAGCCCCGATAAGAACATAAGTTTGTTCTTTTGCAGTCACCTTTCCACTTTTGGTCAATTAAATTCTCAGTTTGGGAATTCTTGTAGGCAATTAATGATGGAAAATTTCAGTGTCACCAAAATATAGTGCCAGAGTCCGGTACCTAAGCAGAAGGTTTCCACATGCCCTTGCAATTAGGCAGCACCCAATTCCCATTCCTGTTGCATCTTGGCTTCCTAGATCTTCTCTTTGCCTCACCTTATATCTTTTTCGAAGGCCTAGGTTCCCCACCCATTCCCTCTGTAGAATGTGTGGATTAGCCACCATGTCCTGGGTCCGAATCACCTCCAGCCTTCCTTCTTCATGACCCACCACTACAAGAAACCACTTAGGAAATCACTTCTTAGAACAAAAGGGAGTAAGGACACCCACCCTCCACCCCCATGAGGTTGCCTCATTTATTACAGTTAAAGGAAGGGAAAAAGAGAGCAAATATATAACTTCTTAAGCCATAGACCATTAAAGAACTAGTGTGAATAAATTTGACCTGTGACTAATAACTTTTTAAAATCTCGTTAAGTCCTATTCAACTTATGTTTTGAATCATTGCCAAATGTCTAAAGTAATCACCATATCTAGTCATGTACATGTATTCAAGTCAACTAATTATACCCAGGGCAATGAGGCGCTCTGTGAATTAACCATAGCCAACTCTAAATTTGGGATGGGCTTCCTCTTGCAACGACTTCGATCACTGCACTATTTCTTTGTGACTTGCAGTTGTGTAGCTTAAAGATTTGGTTCTCAACTGTGGCTGCACATTAAAACCACTGGGGGAACTTGAAAAAGAAATTCTGGTGCCTGGGTCCCACCCTCAGGGATTTGGACTTGGCTTCAGGTGGGTCCTGAGCATTGGTGTTTTCCTTTTAAAGTTTTGTAAGTGATTCTAAAGTATAGACAAAGTCAAAACCACTGGCACAGAAAATGTACTCATCTATTGTGTAAGGAGAGTAAAATCAGAACCAAAAGGAATCATTGTGATTAATATTTGTGTTTCTAGGTTAAAAGTTGTTACCAATGCCACTGAGTATAGGGAACTTGTAAGAAAGGAGGGACTCGAGAAGGAAAAGAAGAGAATCATTTAAAATGAATGTGGAAATGATCATTTAAAATTGGTTGAGTAAGTAAAATGATTTTAAGCAGTTCCAGACATTTGCTTTTACATCAGTATATACAAAGGATGGCAAAGAAAAGATGAATTTTTAAAACCAGCCTCTTGTATGTGCAACAAGAGAGAGTGGGGGATTCGAGGGTATGTTCTTTTTTGGTTTTGAGTTTTTTTCTTTCCCTGATATGAAAAACCTAGAAACAAAGGACAAGAGACTGTTTCAAGAAACCAGTATTGTAAAAGTAAGAGACACGCAGTGAAGAGAATAAAAAACTTAGGTGGAACTAAAGGAGGCTGTAAGCTTTACATATATCCCCCAAGACTGGATGTGTCAACTGCAGGGCACTGGGGTGTACATTCCTTCTCGTCCCCTTCAAACTAGTGTGCCACCCCCTCCCCTGACCTGTGCAGACTGTGTTGTCTTGCTGGGGTTAATTTCTGAACTCCATCCTCGAAAGAAATACTTTGTGCTCTAGGGAGGTCCATCACATCAAAATTAAGTATTAATAGGCTAAGTTGAGTTGTGACAACTTCTGTACAATCTTTATTTCTTTCTTGCTGTGGTTTTTCCTCTCGTGGTTACATTAAATGATTTTTGATAAGTACATAAAATACTGTACCTCTTCAGCATCTATTATGATCAAAGAACTGGGCAAGAAACAGGAGGACATGTTTAAAGATGAGCTCATTCATTTAACAAATATTTATTAAATGTTTACTCTAGGCTATGCATGCTTCTAGGCTCTGAAACTAGAATAGAGATCAAAATAAAGTCTCTGCCCTCTTAGTTCACATTTTGCTGGAGGGTGACAGACAAGAAATGGATTTATAATGTAATGTCATGTAGTAATATGTGTATAAAGAATACACAAGCAGTGTAAGGGTATAGATAGTGATGGGAGAAATGATAGGCTGCTCTTTTGCAAGGAATGGTTAGAGAAAGTGACTCGGATAAAGTGACATTTGCACAGAGACCCAAGAGACCCAAAGAATGTGAGGAGATGAGGAGATGCCTAAAGTACACAGAAGAATGAATCATGTAGCTAACTGGAGAAAGAGCATTACACAGGCAAGTGCAAAGGCCCTGAGGTGAGTGACTGTCAGGCTTGTTTGAGGAACACAGGAGGACAGTAAGGTAGGACCACAGTGAGCAAGACAGAAAACAGTGGAAGGTGAGGATGGGGCCTTACAGAACATGATAAGGATTTTGAATTATATTCTAAGGGTGATGGTATGTCATCTGACATTAAGCAGGACTGAGACATAATCAGACTTAGACTTTTAAAAAATGTGAATGAACACTCTGGCTTCTAAGTTCAGAAAAGAACTTGTGTGTGTTTTGTGCAAGGAGAGAGGTGCAGAGGCAAACCAGCACTCTAGCAGTGTAGGTAAAAGATGATGGTGACTTAAATCAGAAGGTAGTACTGGTAAAGTTCACTGATGCACTGGGTGTAAGGAATAAGGGAAAGAGGAGTTGAGGATGACTCCCAAGGTTTGGGGCAAGCACCAGTGGGTGAAGGGAGGTGATTTTACTAGATGGGGAAACTAGAGGAGGATAGTCTTGGAGAAGCCTAGATGAAAAACAGGGCTGTTTATATAAGCCTAACAGACATACAAGTGAGGATGAATCCTTGAGTTTCTGCCATCAGAGAGACCAGTATCTATCACCTCACACCAGTTAGGATGGACACTATCCAAAAGACAAGAAATAACAAATGCTGGCACGGATGCGGAGAAAAGGGAACCCTCTTAGACTGTTGAAGGGAATGTAAATTGGTGCAACCGTTGTAGGAAGCAATATGGAGGTTCCT